CTAAAATCGTGACGTTTTATTTCAGAACATGCTTGAACATTTGATAGGAATTAAAACAAAAAACAGCGATAAAAAATTATAAAATTATAATTTTTAGATTGTTTAACAATTTATCTTTACAGTTCAATTAGATTTTTTGAAGTAAGAGACACGAAAGTGTGTTAAATACGCTTTTTAAAACTGGTAGTTTTGTATACTGTCACATAGCGTAATAAATGACGTAAAATGACTTGTGGATGCTATTATCAACAATGGCACGATCATACCAGATATTATGATTAATCTGAATACCTAAATTTTATTTTAATATGTGCAACCTCTGTGAAGAAAATGAACGGAAACTAATGGTGGACTGGCAAACCGACTGACAGCAGTTAACAATATGCCCTCCCTTCTTCGAAGAGGGCATAAAAAATGGATACGTACTAGAAGTTTTACACCCCCTCCCACACACACACATTTTCAAAAAAAGGATTCACTACCTCACCAAGACGAAATAATCATAAGCGCTTGGTTACAGGATGGTGTATTTTCGTATTATGTATTTTTCTAGGTGTTCCTGTACTTTTTTTTATATACAGTAGATGTGACATTTTTTAAAAGTTTTTTTTAACGTACTAATTTCGGCGATTTTTATGCGCCCGGATCTATAGATCCAGGGCGTATATTGTTTTTGTCCTGTCTGTTTGTTTGTCTCGAACTTTAACCTTCACCATAACTTTTGAACCATGAAAGATAGAGACTTCATATTTGGTATGCATACTCCACTAATTAAGCTCTTTCAAATGACACCAATGTCAATGACCTTGTGACCTTGACTGTGACCTATATGTTAAAAATAGCTTTTTTCTGCAAACTTTAACCTTTGCCATAACTTTTGAACCATGAAAGATAGAGACTTCATATGTAGTATGCATACTTCACTAATCAGGTCCTTTCAAACGACACCAAGGGCAATGACTTTGTGACCTTGAATGTGGCCTATATGCTAAAAATAGCTTTTTTGAACCCTCATTATAACTTTTGAACCATAAGAGATGGAGATTTTATATTTGGTATACATACTCCACTAATCAAGCTCTTTCAAATGACACCAAGGTCAATGACCTTGTGACCTTTACTGTGACCTTTATGCTGAAATAGCTTTTTCCGAACTTTGTTGCCTCCGGGCACATAGTGTTTCACAAACACATCTTGTTTATTTCTATTTTAATGAGGGTATTCAGGCACACCTAGAAAAACAAATATAATACACAAACTAGATACGATCTCGTTGCGAGCAACGAGTGGGTCTTCCGTCCGATTCTTGATAACATGAGATAAGATTTTGATTCAGAATTTCAGTTTAAAATAAGGATAAAGATTGTAAAGAAGAACAATTTTGCCTCCATAATCTGTAAACAGACATTGAACATTAAAGACTTACAAATTCAACTTTTGGCCCCTCACGGCCCCTAATATTAGGGATCAGCCCTTTTTTCTTCATTTCATCTTATAGCTCTCAGGATTTTGAACACTTTTTGTTCAACACCTATTCAGAGATTCTCTTTCTTTTTCAAGTTATTAAAAAAGATATATTTAGGGGCCAACCCTTCAACTTCTTAATGGGCACATTTAGCGAATAATTGAAAGGTTGCATATTGTTTAGAACATTATTTTGAACATCTTTTGTTCAATATTACTTATTTAAATATTTCCGACTTTTGAGATATAAAGCGTCAAATATTACACATTATGACCCCTAATGGCCCCTTATTATGTACCATAGGGCATTCAAATCATAATATATAGTTGTAGATTGTTAAGATAAACATTTTTGCTTCAGTAATGTATTACAAAATATTGACTGCTAAAGAGTTATCGATTGAAGACTTTTGGCTCCTCTCGGCCCTTAATTTGAGCCCCTTTTTTTGATCTCGTCTTAAACCTCTTAGGCTTCTGAACGATTTTTGTGCAACAACTCTTCAGAGATTCTTTTTCGTTTTTGAGTTATTTGCAAAAGAAATATTTAGGCCAACCTTCAACTCCCTAATGGGGACGTTAAGCGAAAAATGAAAGGTTGCATATTGCTTTGAACATGATTCTGAACATCTTTTGTTCAGTATTACTTTTCAAAATATTTTTCACTTTGGAGATATTAAGCCTCAAAGATTTAGCATTCTGGCCCCTCGTGGCCCCTTATTATGTACTGATAAAGAGTTATCGATTGAAGTCTTTTGGCCCCTTTTTCTTGATTTTCTTTTTTCTTTTGGCCCCTTTTTTGGCCCCTTTTTCTTGATTTCAACTTAAACCTCTTAGGATTTTGAACATTTTTTGTTCAACAACTATTCAGAGATTCTCTTTCGTTTTTGAGTTATTTGAAAAAGAAATATTTAGGGGCCACTCCTACAACTCCTTAATGGGGACGTTTAGCGAAAAATGAAAGGTTGCATATTGTTCAGAACATGATTTTGAACATCTTTTGTTCAATATTACTTATCAAAATATTTTTCACTAAGGAGATATTAAGCCTCAAAGATTTAGCATTCTGGCCCCTCGTGGTCCCTTATTATGTACCATACGATATAAATAACATAATATATAGTTGTAAATTATAGAGATAAACATCTTTGCTTCAGTAATGTATTACAAAATATTAACTGATAAAGAGTTATCGATTGAAGTCTTTTGGCCCCTCTCGGCCCTTAATTTGAGTGTCCAGCCCCTTTTTCTTGATTTCAACTTAAACCTCTTAGGATTTTGAACATTTTTTGTTCAACAACTATTCAGAGATTCTCTTTCGTTTTTGAGTTATTTGAAAAAGAAATATTTAGGGGCCACTCCTACAACTCCTTAATGGGGACGTATAGCGAAAAATGAAAGGTTGCATATTGTTTAAAACATGATTTTGAACATCTTTTGTTCAATATTACTTATCAAAATATTTTTCACTTTGGAGATATTAAGCCTCAAAGATTTAACATTCTGGCCCCTCGTGGCCCCTTATTATGTACCATACGATATAAATAACATAATATATAGTTGTAGATTATTGAGATAAACATCTTTGCTTCAGTAATGTATTACAAAATATTAACTGATAAAGAGTTATCGATTGAAGTCTTTTGGCCCCTCTCGGCCCTTAATTTGAGTGTCCAGCCCCTTTTTCTTGATTTCAACTTAAACCTCTTAAGATTTTGAACACTTTTTGTTCAACAACTATTCAGAGATTCTCTTTCGTTTTTGAGTTATTTGAAAAAGAAATATTTAGGGGCCACTCCTACAACTCCTTAATGGGGACGTTTAGCGAAAAATGAAAGGTTGCATATTATTCAGAACATGATTTTGAACATCTTTTGTTCAATATTACTTATCAAAATATTTTTCACTTTTGAGATATTAAGCCTCAAAGATTTAGCATTCTGGCCCCTTGTGGCCCCTTATTATGTACCATACGATATAAATAACATAATATATAGTTGTAGATTGTTGAGATAAACATTTTTGTTTCAGTAATGTATAACAAAATATTGACTGCTAAAGAGTTATCGAATAAATAATTTTGGCCCCTCTTGACCCCTCATGTGATGAGTCAGCACTTTTTTCTTGATATCATTTTAAAGACCTTGTTATTCTGCACAAATATTGTTCAATATGTTTTAACAAAATAATTATACTTTAAAAGATATGATGCAAAATGTCTCAAAAAATCAGTCATGATTCTTGTCCTAAATTTTGACCCCTACCGAGCTTCCATACTAGGCACTTCCGGAAATTTTGAAAACATAGGTACAAATCTTCAATATGTCGTCTATTACTCCTGAAAATTTCAGCGTTGTAGCGTTTATCGTTTTTGAGTTTTTGTCCGGACAAAAATGTCATAAAAAAATCGATTAAAGGGCGATAACTTGTGACTGGAAGTCAAATTTCCAAAAATTAAGAAAAATGAATAAGGTTCACATTTTTATAGATCATCTCTGAAATTTTCAAGTGAATCGACCAAACCGTCTCTGAGAAATCGTCTGCACAAAAATTGGTATGGAGAAAAATAATAATAATAATAAGAAAAAAAGTGAAAAAGAAACAATAGAATAATAGAAGGGTCTTCCGTTGGAGACGGAAGACCCTAAATACACCATCCTGTAACCAAGCGCCTATGGAAATAATAAGAACATGTGTTGCGATTCTAGGTTAAAGACAATTTAGGGAGGGAGTGGAAGGATTAAATTGTTTGTTGCCATTTAATGATCGGTATCCCTGGCAAGGATAACTTAGTTGCTAAAGCATTATAAGGTCACTGCATGAGGCTCCAGGTTAGATTCTTTGTCCAGCCATTCATGTTATCCTTTTCTGTATCCTTGTAAACTAAACACAATGTCTATATGACTTTGACTCTTACATCATATATATTCAGGATACACACATACTTGCATAATTTTTATCAGAAGACCCCAACAAGACAGTGATACATATCCCATAGTATTATGTTTTTAACCTTTATTCAACATGTTCAAAGAGCTAACTGAACATACCAATACTTTATGAAGGCAAGAAAAATGACATGCATTATTTGTTTTTTAAATAAAACCTTTAAAAAATAAATTAAAAAGACCCTTCTCAGGGCATAAAATCATCCTATCACTATAGCATCCCTAGACTCTGACTCAATATTTTGTCCCACATCAGGATGGTACTTCTTCACATGAGCTTTAAGCGATACATTGTGGTTGAAGGCTTTTAGACAATGCCTACATTTGTATGGTTTTTCACCCGTATGTAAGCGAAGATGTTTCTGAAGTTGATCCTTTTCATTGAAAAACTTATCACAGTAGGGGCACTTGCATTCCCTCGTCTGACTATGCATTCTTGCATGCATCAATGTGTTTCGGGGAGGGAACCGTTTACCACATATTTCACAAACATAACTTCTGTCGACCCCAGTGTGAACTTTGCGATGACTTTCCAATGTTGATAAATGATTGAAGTTTCTTCCACACTCCTCACAAGTGAATTTTCTTTTACTTCCATGAGCTGCAAATTTATGGTTTCTCAGATCTTGTTTTTCGGAAAATGTCTTGTGGCAAATATTACAAGTGAATTCTTTCTTCAATTGTTCTAAGTGTTCCTTTTGCGTACATGTATGCTTTTTTGTCTCCCACATATCGTCAAACATTTTTCCACAATATTTACACTTAGATGGAGTACCATGGTATCTCTCAAAATGTTAATCCAACTTCACTACATAATTTCCACATAGATTGCATTTACTTTTCTTGCCTTTCTGTGTATTCTGCATTAAATCCTTCTCCTTGAACCTAACCCGAATCTTTTCATCATCTTTCAACTGTTAAACATCAAAGTCATTTGAGTTGTTATCTCTTGCACATTCTAAATTCTCTGAATCATTAGAATCATTTCCAATTGTTGAAGATTCTCTAGACTGTTCATTGAAGTCTTCACTATCTGCTCTTTGAGTCTCATTTTCCTTTTCCTGAGTGCTTCCACCAGGTGAACTGTCCTCATTTTCACTCTCTTCTAAAGTTCTTGCTTTGCACAAGGAAGAGGAAACAACAGGCTCTGTATCATTATCTAAAACTAGTTTAAAACTTCTGAATGTACGGCACTTCTGACCTGGCATACTTGGCTTGAATTTCTTTGGCTGCTGTATGTTGTCTGCAGTTTTCTCACATGGGGATTTGGGTTGCAGCATTTCACTAATTGGCTTATTGTCACATGATGTCTTGTCAGATGCTATTTCATTGTTGGAGTCACAGTTGGATGGTACTGATAATGTGGAAGTCTGGGATAAAACTGGTACTGAATTCACCTGAACTTGGCAAGCAGGAGTACAACTTGTGCTCTGTGTTGAATGAGAAATATTTGCTTGGTTGACTGATCTAGAATTGATTGAAGCTGATGCTGTGTAATTCTGTGATAATACTGACAGTGAATTCTGATGAATTTGGAAAGCAGGATTACTGCTGGGTATGCCCTCATTCTGAGAAATGTTTGTCTGATTGACAGAATTGGTTGAAGTTGATGCAGTTGGAGTTTGAGATAATACTGACACTGAATTCATCTGAACTTGGGAAGCAGGACTACAGGTTGTACCCTTAATCTGCGAATGGTTCGCCTCATTGATAGATCCAAAATTGTTTAAAACTTGTGCTGCAGAAGCCTGAGATGATACAGAGAGTTGATTCTGATTCATTTGGAAAGCAGAACTACAGGTGGTGCCATTTGCCTGAGATATGTTTGCTTGATGGATCAATTCAGAATTGGTTGCACTTGGCACTGTGGATGTCTGTGGTAAAACTGACAGTGGTTGGCAAGTAGGACCGTTTGTGACAGCCCCTGTCTGTCCAGTGTTTGTCAGTAACATGGCTCCTGTTTTGTCTGGATTATGTTGTTATTAAAACCATTTACAGTTTGCATCACTTGCTGTCCTGCTAAAAATGGTGCCTGCATAAAAAAGGTTCCTTGGTTGCTTTGGACTGTTAGCTAGTACGGGTTGTACAGCAATCTGAGGTGTAAAGTTATACACAACTGGATAAGGGGCTCCGACAAACTGAACGGGGTTCCCATTGTTAAAGTAAATGTTCTGCTGTTGGTTGTTGAGGTTAGCGTAATTAGCATTCATCAGCAACAGTAATGGAGCCTGGGATGGCATTTGGATTCCTTTTGAAAAAATTTATCCTGAGGTGAAAAGACAGTCAGAGCATGGAGGTGATTTTTCTTTAATCTGCAGGATGTGCAGGACTATTCAACCCCTGAAATAATTAAATAAAATATTTTTGATACTAAATTGATAAGCAGAGTGTAGCTTATTTGCCCTTTTTTGCAAACATATGTTCATATAAATATTGGCATTGAAAATTGGGGTTTATAACATTTTATTAGTTGGTTTAGTCCCCCCTTTCAATTTGCTTCCGACGCCTATGAACAAGGTGAGAATTTATGTAATCAAATGCATATTACTGATTTATAAATGTTCAATTGATAAAGGACATATGAATTTCCTGAATAAAGGTCCGAGTGCAAACTCTGTGTTATCTAAAAAATGTAAAAGCACAATATAAATCAATCCTGTTTCACAGATATCAGATATTTAAAACAAAAGCCTTTTTTTACCAACTTGGATTAAATTATTGGACACGGTTTAAGTCAGTTAAATTTAGAAACATATGAATATTAATCATGTTTACGTTCAAATCACTGAGAAAATTTATATTTGACCATTAGACATGTTAAAAACATATATCACGTAAATCTATGCTTAATCATATGTTTTATTCTTTTTTAGCTCAAATACACAATATATATGGCTAACATGATTAGGGAGGGAGGTTCAAGATAATTTTTAGACATCTTCCTTCTCAAGCTGATTTTTTTTACACCTATACGAGGGTTGTCCCAAAAAGTCGTAGACAATGTTTATTATTTTTTAATCATACAACCAATACCAACCAAATTTTGCACAGACAATATATATTAAATGTTCTTTAAAATTGTGAATATTTAAATATATATCTTTCATATTAATAATATTAGGACGACTTATATGAAGGCCGATAAGGTCTGTCGGTGCACGGACAAAATTCGTAATAATTTACGCATATATTAACTATTACATTTCCTTTAAATTCTTTAGTACTATGTAATTCATTGAATTCAAATTTAAATCACTGAAACCAGAATTAAAATCTCAATAATATGTCAAAATCTCATATAAATAGCATTACAGACGATTGGTGTCGTGATTTTCATAGTATCGTTGGAATTGAGTTTGATAAAAATGACGTCGTCAAACCCATTTGTTACGGCCATTTCGGTTACTAGACTTTTTAGGGTCATAAGTGTGATGTGACGTCATCGTTTTTGGGGCACAGTAATTTTTTGTGTAGAGCCCGTGTTATCATGGCAGAACGCGGCAGGGCTTGGTGCCGCAATTGTTACCAGTTTGCCATTTGCTAGTTTACTATGATATTTTCCAGTCTTTGTACTGATATTTATTTCACCGAAGGAAACTTCTAATTGGTGAGTTTTTTTATGTAAATCATTTAGCTGTATACACTGTTTATTTGTCATCTCGGTAAACTTAGCATTTTTATGAACCTGGCTATCAAGTTATTGTTGAAAGTACATGTGCACTATGTTGGAGTAATAATTATAATGCAATCAGTAAGTTAGGTATATAATTGACATACATATTGTAATTTCGCTGGATATGTGCACATTTATTAAGTACGGGAGATAAATCTTTTTCTGCCACGTTTTTCTATCATGATTTGTGTCAATAAGAGTTATGCCTCTTTGTTTACATTTTGACGACAGTTTTGTGTATTGAAGTATTTTCTAGAACATGTAAAAACATCATGATTATTTGCTAGGATGTGTTATTATGTATAACTTGCTTGAAATATCTTGTATTTATAGTATTTTTTCTTTGTATTTTTTGTAGTAAATCGTCATCGTCATATTTTCCAAGTCATTTCCAAGTCATATTTCCAAGTCTACTTCTATGTCAACGTCATAAACGTCATTTCAACGTCAATTACGTCATTTCCATGTCAACTTCAACTTCAAGTCATATTTCCATGTCATTGTCATCGCCATATCTCATCATCCTCATAAATAAAATCATTGGACGCATTTACATGTTGTTTCCTGAATTTCATGTCCCGAGTCAGTACAAAATATTTACAATTAGAAGATGAGATGAAGGAAGGAGAGGATGGTGAGTCACAGGAGGGTCAGCCCAGAAGGAGTGAAAGAAAGAAAAAGACTGAAAAAGGTGCTGAATTTACTTTAGAGACTAAGCTCAACAACAGAGAGAAATGTTACAAGGTACTGTTAGCACTAAGTGATAATTTAAAAGGACTTTTGGAGTCGTCAGATGATAAAGACACCATCAAAACTGCTTACAGTAAATGGTTGGACAATTAGGAGGACTTTCTAGAATTCCAGGAAGAAGTTAAAGCATTCATCTCCCCGAGCGAGCAGACGGTAGATGAAGAAATATTCACCGGAAGAAATAAACAACTAATGGATGTGAAAGAGTCAGTGGAAAAATGGTTTTCAAGCCATTCGAAAGGTGTTCCATCTGATAAACGATCCATTGTTTCTAAGTCAAGTAACTATTCAGTGGCCAAGCTTGAGGAAAAACAACATAAAGCAGAGCTATTGGCAAAAGCAGCTGCGCTTAAAGAAAAGAAACAGATAGAGGAGGCCAAACTACATTTAAAAATGAAAGAAGAAGAACTAAACATACAAACAGCTCTAAAGATCAGTGACGCTCGAACTAAAATTATTGAAGAACTTGAAAGGAGTGAATTGAGGGACCAACAGCTTACCGAAGCTTTGAGTGATATCCATGCAGAATTGCATCACCATGGCGCACCTTTGTTTTCACCTGTACAGAAACCAACTGCACAGCAGTTACCACATTTGCATGTACCTGTGTCTACCACACAGTCTACCTTGAATCCACATGCGCCTTTGTTTACATCTGTGTCAAGGACTGTTAGTCAGCAGAACTGGAATACACCATTTGTGACTCCAGGTATTTCATCGCATGTGCCTGTTAGTGTGACTACATGTACGCCACATAGTATTCCTTACATTCCTATGTCGACGCAACATAGTACGCCTTATGTACCTGCGTTACCAACATTCGGTGACTTGTACAATTCAGGACATGCGCACAGTCATAATCGTGAACATGAAGGCCTACTTATTGTGGCACAAGAACTAAATAAGCCAAAATCAGAAATACAGAAGTTTGAAGGGAATCCAATGGACTACCAGAGATTCATTAGACAGTTTAATACAAGGGTGTGTGCTAATACCAGCTCATATGAAGAACGTTTGAACTTTCTTCTGCAATTTACCAGTGGTGAGGCTAACAGAATAGTGACTGGATATTCACACTTAAATGCTGAAGTGGGATACAAGGCAGCGATGGATGAATTCAAAGATCGATATGGTGATCCAGACATTGTTGCGCAAGCTTATGTGAAAAAAGCGTTAAATTGGTCGTCATTAAAACAAGATAATGTAAGGGGACTTGATGACTATGCAATATTCCTTACAGAGTGTCAGCATGCTGTCAATAATGTAGCCAGCGCTAGAGCCTTAGAGTATCCAGAGAATATGAAACTTATTATAAAGAAACTTCCGTTCTACTTACAAGAAAAGTGGCGAAATGACAGAAGAGAAGTTGTGAAGTTTGAGAACTTAGTGAAGTTTGTTCGTAAGGAAGCTAAAAAGGCCAACGACCCTATTTATGGAAGAGAAGTGATGAATATCTCAACGTCTTCAACCCACGGACAGAATGTTAAACCAGCCACATTCTCAAAACAGAAAGGGAACTTTGCAACTAAGACCGTGAAATCTCATCTATCTACAAACAATTATGTATATGAACAACATAGACCAAAATCATCTGGATCTGTGAAACCATGTGCTTATTGTCAAGGCACATCACATTCATTGGAAGATTGCCGGAACATTATGAAGCTACCTCTAAAGGACAGATATGAAGTGTTGAAGTCTAAGGGACTGTTTTTCTCGTGTTTGAGATCAGGACATCTTATGGGAGCCTGTCAACACAAGTTATACTGCGTTCACTGTAAGAAGTGTCACCCATCTATACTTCATGTGAATCCTCGACAAGGCAAGGAAAACCCAATGACTACCGATCAAAACAACAACGGCTCATCTGCAGCCGTTTCTTCAACAGCCCATATGGGGGCTGGGGACTCAGTGAGGCAAGCGCTTCCTGTCATACCAGTACGTCTGAAATCAAGAAACAGTGACAAATTTATTACAACTTATGCTTTCTTGGATTCTGGGAGTACAGCGACATTTTGTACAGAGGAAATCGCAAGATCACTACACCTTGAAGGCAAAAAGACTGTTCTTAACTTAACAACCATGGGACAGCAGAGGACAGAGAACTGTAGCATTCTATCTGGTCTTGAAGTGAGTGATTTAAATGGTAATCACACAATTGACTTACCTCCTATATACACTCAACCGGATCTGCCCATATCTAAGAAAAACATTGTTACGTCTGAGGACCTACAAAGATGGCCGCATCTGCGTGATATACATATTGATACCATAGATAGCGATGTTGGTTTGTTGATTGGTGTCAACGTACCAAAAGCAATGGAGCCATGGGATGTGATTACTAGTGTACACAAAGGTCCATTCGCTGTTAAGACTCTGTTAGGATGGGTAATCAATGGACCGCTTGATACCAGACCAGAGAATAGTACTTACAGTACATACGTCACAGCCAACCGCATCGACGCAAGATTAGAGGAGCAAGTGAGATATCAATTCAATCATGACTTTAGTGAAAGAGCTATCGATGATGTTCCAGAGCCGTCAAGGGAAGACAGGAGATTTCTCGACTTTGTGAAAAATTCAGTTCGCTTTGAAAATGGACATTATGTCATTGGTCTACCATTCAAATCAGAAATGTGATAATGCCAAACAACAGAAAACAAGCAGAACAGAGACTGAATTCATTGGCTAAGAAACTTTGCAGCGACAGTGAATTCCATGACAATTATAAAGCCTTCATGGACAAAATTATTAGCAAAGGCTATGCACGAAAGGTGCCTATAGAAGACTTGAATCAAGATGATGGACGCGTTTGGTATTTGCCGCATCATGGTGTACTACACACTCATCGGGACTTTGATACGATTTAGAAAGGAGGAAATGGCTGTGATGGGAAATATTGATAGTATGTTCTACCAAGTACGTGTTCCGCCACAAGATGCTACTTTTCTACGATTTCTCTGGTGGAAAGATGGAAATCCTTCCAGTAGTTTACTAGAGTACCAGATGATCGTGCATTTGTTTGGAGCCACATCTTCTCCTAGTTACGCCAACTTTTGTTTACGAAAAACAGCTCAAGATTGGCCAGGACATTTTAGTGATGAGACAATAAAAACAGTTCTTCAGAATTTCTACGTTGATGATTGTCTAGAGTCAGTGAAATCTGTAAGAAATGCTGTGACATTGGTGAAAGAGTTACAGGGACTCTTGGAAAGTGGGGGATTTCATATATCAAAGTGGATCAGCGACAGTCGAGAGGTCATGTATTCGATACCAAAATCCGATAGAGCTAAAGAGGTCAAGGACTTAGATCTTGATTATGATATACTACCAGTAGAGCGAGCCCTCGGCATCCAGTGGTGTGTGAATTCTGACATCTTTCAGTTTAAATTAGACTTCAACAAGAAACCACTTACGAGGCGGGGAATTCTGTCAATGGTGAGCGGTGTGTTTGACCCACTGGGATTCTTAGCTCCACTACTACTCAAGACCAAGATCATTCTGCAGGAATTGTGCAAACTTCAGCTTGGATGGGATGATAAGATTCCTAATGAAACTGCTATTCAGTGGAATAATTGGTACCAAGATCTCGAGAAATTGAGGGACTTCAAAGTGAACAGATGTCTGAAACCTTATGGTTTTCATCCGCTCATGGTACAGTTACATCATTTTGCTGATGCAAGCGAAACTGGATATGGTACAGTGTCATACTTGTGCATGGAGAACGCTTCTGGTGAACGTCACTGTTCCTTTATTATGGGAAAATCCCGCGTTGCTCCACTTAAGACAACATCTATTCCACGATTGGAGTTGACAGCAGCCACGGTAGCCGTCAGAACCAATAGGATGTTACTTAGAGAATTGAACATTCCTGTCCATCGTATTACATACTGGACCGACAGCATGGCCGTTCTACGTTATATCCAAAATAGTACGGCGAGATTTCATACTTTTGTTGCAAACAGATTAGCAGTTATTCACGAAGGGTCACAACCAACTGACTGGAGATACATCAACACAAAGTTGAATCCAGCGGATCATGCATCTAGAGGTATCTCTGCAGATGGCTTATTGAAACAGGAGAACTGGATCAATCCCCCCAATTTCCTGTTTGAGTCTGAGGATCATTGGCCAACACCAGCTTCACACCTCACTGACACAGAACTGTTCGACAACGACCCAGAGGTGAAAAAGGTTACTGTAAAGACAGTTGTCACAAAGTCACAGGAATTACAAGAGAATACCGCAGATATTAACAAACTGTTTCAACATCATTCATCTTGGTATCTATTGAAACGTAGTGTCACCTGGATTTTGAAGGTGCGTAAAGAACTGTTAAGACGTGTTTATTTAAAAAGACTCGATTCCCACTCAATGGTACAGGATGATTTTCATGACAAGGCTTACATTTCATACGAGGACTTGAAAGATGCAGAAAAAGCTTTACTTGCGTTCATTCAGTGGCAAGAATTTTCTACGGAAATAAATACCCTTATGTCAAGAAACTCTAGTGTCAGTCATGGTAGCAGAATCCGTAGCCTTGATCCATTTTTGGATGCTGGTCTTTTGCGAGTCGGTGGTCGTTTACACAAGTCAAGTTTTCCAGAGGAGATGAAACATCCAGTGATTCTACCCAAAGATCATCATGTGTGCACTCTAATTCTTAACCAAATTCATCAGGATTTGTTACATAGTGGCAGAAATCATATGCTAGCTAAGTTGAGAGAACGTTACTGGCTTATCCATGCTCCATCTGCAATTCAGAAAATCATATCAAAGTGTGTTACTTGTAGACGACAGAGGTCTAAGGTTGGAGAGCAAAAGATGGCAAGTTTGCCCAAAGATCGTATTGTCCCAGACGAACCACCATTTAGCAGAGTTGGTGTGGATTACTTCGGACCATTTGAAGTCAAAGTGAAACGGAGCCGTGTGAAACGCTATGGTGTTATATTCACTTGCTTAGCTAGTCGTGCAGTGCATCTAGAGATAGCAGCTTCGTTGGATACAGATTCCTACATAAATGCACTACGTCGTTTCATAGCAAGAAGAGGACAAGTAAAGAAAATACGTTCTGACAACGGAACTAACTTTGTTGGTGCCGAACGTGAACTTAAAAAATCCATACAAGAATGGAACCAAGCACAGATCCAATCTGCGATGTTACAAAAGAACGTAGACTGGCAGTTTAACCCACCAGCTGGATCACACTACGGGGGAGCCTGGGAGAGGTTAATTAGATCTATTCGTAAAGCCATGAATAGTGTACTAAAGGAGCAGACACTTGATGATGAAGGACTTCATACTCTAATGTGTGAAATTGAATATACACTCAACGACCGACCTATAACGAAGAACACGGATCAACACGGTGACTTGGAGCCACTTACTCCAAACCATTTGCTTTTGATGAAGAGGAAACCTAACCTTCCTCCAGGAGTCTTCGATAAGACAGATCTGTACCACATTTGCCGTTGGAGACAGATACAATATATGGCCAACTTGTTCTGGCATCATTGGGTACGCGAGTTCTTACCACTTCTCCAGGAACGACAAAAATGGCATGATATCAAGACAAACTTTCAAATCGGTGATATTGTGTTGGTTGTGGATTCGAACGCCCCAAGGAACTCTTGGCCGATGGGAGTAGTACATGAGACAATTCCTGACAGAAACGGACTCGTACGTCAGGTCAAGGTGAAAACTGCGACAAACATTTTAACGCGACCTGTCGATAAGCTGTGTATGATACTAGAAATGGACTAAGAGACTGTTTGAGATGTATTTACTAAGAGACTTTGAATATATGAATATTTGTCTTTCATGCATTGAATTTGCTAGGTATCATGTTTCATGTGCAAGTATCATTTTTGATGAGAATTTAGTACAGTGTAACCTGTTTAACTTGCATTGTGTTTTATACAATTTTTGGGTTAATGGATATAATGTATATATCTATTTTTGTAATTGTGTCACATTTGTTCCACAATTAGGGGGCTGGATTGTTACAGTCCCTGAAACGTTCTACTTTCCCATTTTTCCGTTCGCTCACCGTTCGTTCACCGTTCGTTCAGCGTGCGTTCACCGTTCGCTCTTCGTTCACAGTTTTGCGTTCACCATTCACCGTGCGCTCGCGTTCACCGTTCACAAAACGTTTACCGCTCGCTCTTCGTTCCGTTTACTTTGCGTTCACCTTGCGTTCACCGTTCACTTATCGTTCAGTCTTCATTGTCATTCGGAACTCCAAAGTGAAAGGACTTATCATTTTGATGGTAAGGATTTACACGTTTTTTAATTAAATAACTAAAATATCGTGTTTGAAGAATAATTATTTCATTGCAAAAATTATCAACGATATTTATATTTTTATTATTATAACTTAGTTGTTACTTTATCCGTGAAATTCCCCTGAAAAATAATATATCAAGTACCTACATGTATGTAGAACGATGCTAAAATATTAAATTTAAAAAAAGGGCAATGTACAAATGCATCAGGCACGGCATAATCTTGTTGTAATGTAAAAACATTAATGGATGGATAATAATCCAAGTAGGACAAGAATACACAAAAACTTTTTTTCTAACACGTATTTAAAAAAAATGCACGGAAACATATATGAGAACTACATACGCAATACAGTTAAGGTGCGCAATGGAAATATCGACTAAATTTTGTATTTAAAAATGTATTCGTAATCGGGATGGCGATTATTTTTAGTACATTATTCATATTGGATAATTGTAATTATGATTAATAGCTACATATCGAGGACGATTATATTTTATATTTACACTAGTCACGTGATGCGGCAGACAGGCGATTTAAGCACATTGACTTGAAGTACTGATGTTACATATAAATGTCACTAGTGCAAGGGCATAACCAAATTAAATTTCCAAGTTTAGTACATAAATATTTTCAACACGCATTGTAGTTTCTAAAAAGTGCTGCGATCCTGTCTAAATTCTGCAATTTCATTGTTAAAATTATACTTGTATGACCGAACGCTATATTTTTTGCTGGTCAGCGGCATGAAATATTGATAAAATTAAATTATTTTTAAGATTTCATCAGGATCGCAGCACTTTCCAGATACCTTAATAGTTCTGTAGTTGAAATGTAAAAGCTTACTTTGATCCATAGAGTGCATGCCCTTGCACTAGATCGATTTATTAAGACCTTCCACATTACCCTCCGAGGTACTTGCATACACTTATACGGCAGTGTCAATTAAATACGTAATGCACAGAAAATATATTAATATAATAGTAAAGAAGACATTAAATTCAAGTTATTGTCCCATATAATATCTGTAAATAGTGTTTTATTTAATCAGAGAATACATATTTTGTTGAGAAAATATTGCTGGATCTGTCTCTCACTGCATACAAACTACGTCACGTTGTAAGAAATGACGTCATATTGACAAGTGTATTGCGATCAGTGACTTGTTTATAACTTGCTATGTGCGATTTAACTAACGACAAAACAACACGCTGTAGTAAGTTTTTATGTCGTTTGATGATTTCTTACTAATTAAATTAGCAGATAAACTCATATTGTGGTATTTTTAAGAGATGTTGTATGACGTATATTGTGTATGATGTCATAGTAAAGTTTTCCCGTACAAATTAGGCTCCGCCTCCTTTTTGTAACCTTAACTGTGCTGCGTATAGGTCTTAAAATTATGAACAGTACAGCAGATATTCAGTTAATTAATTATCTCTAGAGCTAATGGAATTTATTAGCGTGATTTTAAATTTTAGAAAAGACCAACTGTTTTAAATGAAATACATTAGATTTTTTTGTACACTAAGTTAAGTCTAATATTAGAGAGGGAAAATTCCATCATTCACCGTACCTAAATACATGTTTGCCATCCAATATAATTAAGAGCCCCCCCCCCCCTTCTCCCGATATCAAATACTTAGTTACATGTAGTATATCCAGAATATTTTAAATAATATTTAATGTGTATTGTAACACAAAAAAAATCAGTATTAACACGAACATCAAACAGTGATTAAACAATAGTATTTCAAAATATACATGATTGTGCCGACAGTAGTATTTGGCAGGGAATATGTTTCAAATTCAATTTCAAACTTAATCCTTAAAAGTATAAATTATCATTATTTATTTATTTTTTTTCTGCAGGAATACAAAAATCAGATCTAGAAATGAAAAGTAAAAATATTAAAACTTCTTGGAAATACTACGTGACTCTTTGCCTTCGGCATGCTCGGTGAAACGAGATTTCCACATCTCCGCTGCGCTGTGTCGAATGATTTTGATTGGCAGGCTAAGCACACGGACTTCTTGTGAACGGTGTGAAGTTGAAGATTGAAAATAAAAGCCGATGATTACTGTGAAATGGATTTGTTAATCTTAAACCTTTGATAACTTTTATTGCTTGGAAAATTTCGGAAAAATAATAAGATTTTTTTTTTTGATCCAACAGATATCTGGGAATAGGAGGGCCTCTCTCTCTCTCTCTCTCTCTCAGAATTGCGTTGGCACGAAAATACATGTTTGGTTGTTTCAACCGGGTACAATGTAATTAATTCATTATATAAGTAGTAGTTTTATCTTCTAAAGTCCACATTATTTTATTAGTTAAAAGAATAAGCATAATGATTTAATTAAATTAATTTATTTTTTAACTGCACGCGGTAACAATTACACGTTTTACGGCGATTAAAATCATGTTATTAAAATATCGATTTAAAATAGGTATGTACAGAAAAAAAATATTTTTATTTATTTATTTAGTTATCTATTGTTTATCTAAGTAGTAGTTTTATCTTCTGAAGTCCAAATTATTTTATTATTTAAAAGAATAAGCATTATTATTTACTAAATAAGTAGATTATTTTTTTTTTAACTACACGCGGTAACAAACACAGTACACGTTTTACGGCGATTAAAATCATGTTATTAAAATATCGATTTAAATATATGTATGTGCAGAATTTTTTTTTTATCATATTTATTTATTAATTTATTAATGTGTTTATTTAACTTTTGTTTATCTATTATTTATTTATATTTATTCATGACATTTGAATTATAGAATAAAAGAATAATTTCAATGCAAGGAAAAGACCGAAGGCATTCCGAATAAATCGTTCATCTTGCGTTCACCGTTCGTTCACCGTTCACTTTGCGCTCGCGTTTGCGCTCCGTTCGCGTTCTGCGTTCACTTACCGTTCACCGTTCACACATCGTTCACCAAGTTGCGTTCAGCGTTCGCACATCGTTCACTCACCGTTCGCTCTGCGTTCGTTCACCGTTCGTTCACCGTTCGTTCAGCGTTCGTTCACCGTTCAGGTGGGAAAGTAGAAAGTTTCAGGGACTGTACGGCCATTTCGGTTACTAGACTTTTTAGGGTCATAAGTGTGATGTGACGTCATCGTTTTTGGGGCACAGTAATTTTTTGTGTAGAGCCCGTGTTGTCATTGCAGAACGCGACAGGGCTTGGTGCCGCAATTGTTACCAGTTTGCCATTTGCTAGTTTACTATGATATTTTCCAGTCTTTGTACTGATATTTATTTCACCGGAGAAAACTTCTAATTGGTGAGTTTTTCTATGTAAATCATTTAGCTGTATACACTGTTTATTTGTCATCTCGGTAAACTTAGCATTTTTATGAACCTGGCTATCAAGTTATTGTTGAAAGTACTTGTGCACTATGTTGGAGTAATAATTATAATGCAATCAGTAAGTTAGGTATATAATTGACATACATATTGTAATTTCGCTGGATATGTGCACATTTATTAAGTACGGGAGATAAATCTTTTTCTGCCACGTTTTTCTATCATGATTTGTGTCAAGAAGAGTTATGCCTCTTTGTTTACATTTTGACGACAGTTTTGTGTATTGAAGTATTTTCTAGAACATGTAAAAACATCATGATTATTTGCTAGGATGTGTTATTATGTATAACTTGCTTGAAATATCTTGTATTTATAGTATTTTTTCTTTGTATTTTTTGTAGTAAATCGTCATCGTCATATTTTCCAAGTCATTTCCAAGTCATATTTCCAAGTCTACTTCTTAGTTAACGTCATAAACGTCATTTCAACGTCATTTACGTCATTTCCATGTCAACTTCAACTTCAAGTCATATTTCCATGTCATTGTCATCGCCATATCTCATCATCCTCATAAATAAAATCATTGGACGCATTTACATGTTGTTTCCTGAATTTCATGTCCCGAGTCAGTACACCATTACCGGCGCACGGAGATGTAATAAATTGTGTTGTATATGTTTTATAAACAGCAGAGACAGGAAAAAATAGTACATAAGTGACATTACACACCAGATTTTAATAAATAAGTTATTTTTAAATGGCATAATATTCAATGAGAGTTTTTATTCCATACCAAATATAGTTACGGTATGTAAGAAGTAGAGTACTGTTTGTTAAACGCAGACAGTGGGCAACAATCTGGACCGCGAACGACGTCAAACAATGTGTATCTCTGCTGCCTACAATGTAAGGCTATCTTTCGACTAAATTTCGACTGAATTTGAATCTGCTTTAAAAAAAACAAACAAACAAACGGAGAGAAGTTAATTTAAATAAATCCCTTAGTCAAGAGTGGTCTGTCATGCACTTAAAAAAATTAATGTTAGTATAGACGCGAGTGAAGCAAAGAAAGAGAACATGACGTTATAAGAGACGTAATTTATGCTTGCTTTCGTGTGCCGGTGTACGCTTACATTCTTTTATTATTTTTACATTATTTTCTT